TTTATTATTATTATTATTATTATTATTATTATTATTATTGCCTCCTCTGTATCTCTAGCAGAGCTTTTTCACCAAGTTTCTTACAGCGGTACTCATCTCTGGACAGCTATTTAAAGATCTGTTAGCATAGTTCCTTGACTAGATTATTCATTCCAGTTCGTGTGTGATTTGGAAATGCAGATCCTCTGGCAAGGCCAAGCGAGCCTGAATGGGAAGAGCTGAGAAACAGGCTGAGACATTCCAGCTACTCATTCACCTCACTCTCAGTACATCTGTCCAGGCCTCATTTTGGCTGCACCTCAGATCTTCTCATCCATAAACCCACTTGTTTATAGACGCGTTTCCTTCCTTGAACTGGTAGCAGTATGCGTGTCTGTGTTTCTGTACCCATGGCTGTGATCATCCAGGAGCCTGTTTATTCTAAGAGGGCTATTTGAGGAAAATGGAGGGGTATGTACTGGTAAATTGTGAGCTGACAAGTCATGGCATTTCTTCTGTTTTTCAGACTGAGGAGGACCCTGCGAATGCCCTTCTAGAACCACTGTGGCCAGAGATACATCAGGAACTGAAAATTATTGAACCTGAAGAGGAGCTCTTACTCTTGCCAGCAGCTGCCCCCAAGATGGGCCTAATTTCTGAATCCTCTTCTTCAGTACAAACAGATAGTTCTTCCTCTGGCCCAGGGCAGAGTCCAACACTGTCTGAGCAGAACTCTGCAGGCAGAACACCACAGACAGCAACTCAGGTGCCTTTATTTGGTGCCACTGGCAGGGAACAACAAGACAGCCTCCACAACTGCAAGTCTGATGTGGTTGCACAGCAGAGCTGTGTTTCAGCCCTACCCAAACTGGGTACTCTTCTGACTGGCACAGCCACTCCAAAGAACCATCACCCAGTGGTGGACAGCAGAAGTGAATGTCTCACTCCTCCCCTGGACTGGAAGCTTCATAGTCAATCAGAATTTAATGAGGTTGCCCCAGGTGATGAATTTTCTTGTTCCAGAGGAGCGTGTCCAGAGTCAGGGAGAGAAAAAGATAGCACTTGCCAGCTGCAGAGGGAAAAGGATGGTCTTACCGGGGTCCAGACTCAGAGGGAGAAACCTGAGATAATGATTGCTGATGAAAGGGACACATTCTCCTCCAAGGTGCTGAGTGGAGCTGGAATCCAGGAGCTGAAGGAGGGCAATGCTGTTAGTAGAACCCATGATGCTGGTGACCAGGATGATGAGGATACATGGACAGATAATGTGCAGAGTTTAGAACTTGTGGAGCCATGGGAGGATCACCAGTGGGTTACAAGCCCACTCCATTCCCCCACCTTTAAGGACATTCAGGAGAAGATGATACAGGAGTTTCAGCCACAGAGCCGGAGAGCAGAGACAGGCCTTTCTCTCAGACCACGATTCAGTCGCAGCCTCTCCCTGGACAGTAAAGACACAGTGATGAGTCTGTGGGCTATCCCATTCTCTTTCATAGATGCCACTGACCAGCAGCAACCATGCAGTAACATTCTGCCAGTGACTTGTGAGCTTCCCAAAGCACAACCCATTTCCCCATCTAGTCTGGGCAAAGCTAAGCAAGATGAGAATGGCACAAGTCCTCCAGAAGAACCTTTGAAACCTGAGCAGCTGATGTACCCCCTCAGCAGGGAGGAAGCACCAGCTGAGAAAGAAGGACTCTCCAGAATCTCTCTTTCAGAGCCAGAGGAAAAGGAAGTGACTATGAGCAAAGAAAACCCTTGGAGCTCAAAGCCTGAGCTGTCTTTACCATACCAAAATAGCTCAAGCAGTTCTTCACAGGCAAAGAACACAAAGGAAGAGTTATCTATGTCTCAGGACACTGCCCTGGGCAAAGAGACAGTTACCAAAGCATTGTGCTCTGCCACTGAGTCACAGCTGAGTAATAAAGGTGAAGAAACACCTCGCAAAGCGAAGACTAGGCCATCATCCCTCAACTTGGATTCACTCCTTCCAGCCCCAGATTTCTTCACATTCGAGAGCCTATCCATGTCCTCTGCCCCTGGGAACCTCTTGTGCGGGCAGAAGGAAGTAAAAAGCAGTGATTCTGTCCCATCCTTGCCGACTGCCTGCCCTGTTGCCAGTAAAGGTGTTTCCTGGGGGTCTCATTTCAATGCCCACATGGATCTAGACCTGGATTACCTGGCAGTGGCCCATACCACCACTGGCCGTCGTAACTCTGCCCCTGTCAGCGTGTCGGCGGTCAGGACCTCCTTCATGATTAAGATGTGCCAGGCTAGAGCGGTGCCCGTGATACCGCCCAAGATTCAGTACACCCAGATCCCCCAGCCCCTGCAAGCTCAGAACACTGCTCCACCAGCCGAGAAGAAGGAAGCAGAAGCCAAGCAGGCCATCAGGCAAACTCAACGGGTGGCATGGAGCCACCTGGAGGCCCCCAAGAGCCCACTGGCAGAGAAGAAAGCCAAAGCAGAGAAAGAAAACAGTGACCCAGCTCAAAAGGACTCAGCCTGTCCTTGGCACAGCAGTCTTGGCTCTCCACTGGAGCCATCTCAGTCCAGTCATCACCCCGTTCTGGACGCCCCTGTTCTGCGCCGAAAGCGCACGTCTGAGGGGGAGACAGCTGGAGATAACCCACAGTCCTCAAAGATGGAGAGGCCATCAGGGTTCTCCAAGCCTTCCTATAGATCTAGGCCCGGGAGGCCCCAGAGTCTGATTCTCTTCAGTCCCCCTTTCCCCATTATGGACCATCCCTCCTCTTCAGCAGACTCCAGGGTGTTGTTATCACCCATAAGGAGCCCCACTCAGACCACCTCTTCGAGCCCCATTTGTGGTGATCTGCCTGAGACTTCGCGGACAACACCTGAGGGGGTGACGCTGAGGAACAAAATGACCATCCCCAAGAATGGCCAGAGACTGGAGACCTCTACTAGCTGCTTTTACCAGCCTCAGAGGCGCTCTGTGATTCTGGATGGACGAAGTGGGAGGCAGATCGAATAGCAACTGCTTCTCTTACTCCTTTTCCATGGTGGATGGGATGGGAGTGTCCAAGACCAACTCTGTTGACATTTTGCTGTTGTTATAACTATTTTGTGCAAGACGGACCCAAATCCATTACAGTTTCCTGCAAAACATTTTGCTACAGAGGGTCATAGTCTTTTTGTCTTGCTTTTCCTTCCCTTTCTCACCCCTGCCTAGTCCCTCACTGCCTGCTTTTTTTTGTAAGCCAATTGCAGGGAACTGGCATTTCCTCATACTTACTGTCTAACAAGCCCTGTGAAAGTCTCATCCTCTTTATGGAAAAAAAGAAAAAATAAATCTTGGTATAATTAGGAAACAGGGCTGGGAGGAAACACCATTCCAAAGCACTGCAGCCCATGGTGCAGGGGCACAGCATCTGCTTGAGGAGGTAAGTCCAGATGTTTGGGACCTCCTTCCATTATTTCCCAGCCACCAGTGAAGGACCATGCCTATTCATTTCTGTTGTCTGATTTAGACAGTGTAAATAAACAGTGCAAGGAGACTGGGGGTAGCTGAAGAGGAGGGTGAAGCTGGCATGAGCAAGTCATACAGAGTGTGAGACACCCAAGGATGCTCCAGTGACATACAACCTGAAGGTGCTGCCTCCAGCTCTGTCCTTGCATCAAAGATGTGCTCTTTCCAGCATGTGCAAGCAATGAAAGTAGCTGGACAGGAAATGCCTAGTTGTTCTTTTAATCTGCCAAGTCCTGCTCATGAGTTTTGTTGTGCTCAGCCACACCTTCCTTGGGCAGACAACGTCCATGTGGCTGGGGAACGAGTGTGTGGCTGACTGTCCAGCTGTAGAGACTTCTCAGGCTGGTATCAATGAAAGCAAAGACACGGTCATAACAAAGGCCAGTATCAACTATTTGCATTGTTGCTTAAAGACAGATGACACCTATCTCCAGCTGTGCTCCACACTGCCAACAGCAGAGAAAAGCAAGAGGATCTTCTGATCTGCATGTCCTTGGGCTATCGTCCTCTTGCACCCTGACTGACATATCTTTGACCCTTGGCCTTTCATTGCCACTGTGTGGCATGTTCCCAGGTGCTTCTTCCTCCTTTAAACTTCCTCTCCTTGTGAGTTTACACTGTTTCTTTGAGAGCATGGCTGGTTGTCGCCTCCCTGGCCCTCAGCGCTTTCAGATTGATTAAGAGTATGTTGAAGAGGATGATTTGTGGGACTGCAGGACAGATCATGAACAATATCCTGAGAGGGGGATTTGAAGTCAATTAAGCTCTCTCCTGAAGAGCTGTTATTGTTACAGGCAAATACACGTTTGTATAAGCCATGGGAATAGAATTAAAGCTTCCTTTATAAAGCCTCTAACTCTACGTTAACAACAGGCTCATCTATTGCCTAGTATGTGACTGTGGGCGATTGCAGTCAGGTACAGCCCATCTTGTCTTTGCAATTTAAATGTCAGTAGTGACTACGGAGAAGATGGGAACACAGGTATTGCTGCCAGCATTGAGATTGTCCCTATAATGGTGCTTGCAGGGGCCATCATTCATGGAGATGTCTGAGTCTGTGGGCCCTCGGATGGGTATTATGGGCTATAGTTTAAGCAGTAACTGAGCATCAGGTAGGAGGTGCTATAGCCACCATAATGTATGTCAGTCAGAATTTCCCAATGGGTGTATGTTTAGGGCTTTTATTCTGAAGTACTGGCATTTTCAAATTGTTAGCAAACTCAATCCATGAGCTCTTGGTCTGTGCTGAATGTGTCACTTAATTAGTGTCATTGTGGCTGGAGGGCCCAGAGTCTGTACAGTGCTTTCTCTGCACTCTTTGATTGTTAAAGGGGAGAGATGCCAGAGTACTTTCGAGAATTTCTGGGCCCACAAATGCAAGGAATATATTTTCAGCAGAATTTTCTCCTGCCATATCCAAAGGGAGTGTGAAAAAACAAGAGGGCATTTCCTTGTCACCAGCTGCAGTCTTTGATCCTCCCCGTTGTACTCCTCACTTGTGCATAATGCAATATAAGATGGAACAGAGCAGAGAACTATGTCTATGCTGTCAGTTTTGTGGAGGGAGAATATTAAACCAGACGAGAGCCTGGGGTTCTTGTTTGTGTCCATGTTGTCTCACAGATGTCAGCCTATGCTTTACCTGGGCAAGCCATGGACGGCAGATCCAGAATATGCAGCTTCATGACAGTAGTATTATCCTCCTCCCAGACCATAAGATGCCTGCACAGCCTCCCATTAAAACCAGGGGATTGACAGTCCTCCATGCTCCTCATAGTTAGCACAGCTCTGCGCTGCATTTACACGGCAGCCAAATGCCTTTTTTACTGCCTCATGGGAAAGCTTTTAACCACCATGGCTGGGTTAATGGCAAATGACTTGGAAAGGTGTGATACGAAGTATTGTGGTAAGGCTTTACAGAAAGTAAAAGTTGTGGAAATGATGCCCAGGTTTTTTTGGCGTCAACAAAATAGTTTACTTTCGGCAGGGATTTATATTCTCTTAGTTCTTAGCAGTTTTGACTGCCAAGGCATTTGGAACAGAACCAGCCAAGCTCAAGAAGTAATGTATCAAAAGAAGAAGAAAATGTGATGAAACCTTGGCACCTCAAATCCATTCTTTTTCTTTTTCCCTCCTTGTTCTCATATAAGCTGATCTATGAACACGAAATGAGGTCTGGCAATTTGTATACAATACACTGTCTCAAATCTTAACAGCATTCCAGTAAGTAATAGTGCTTTTGGCATAAGTGGTGAAACTCCTGCAAGAGAAAATTATTAGAAATCTTTACTTAACATTGAAGATCAGCCTCAACTAAAGTCTGTATCCAGACTATATTTTTTAAGTGTGTTTCAGAATTTGAACTCAGATCCAGGTCCTGGATTCAGCAGAGATTCTGTAATGAGATCTCTATTTTGTAGCTTGATCCCATCTCTATCTACAATTTAATCTCGAGCCTTCAGCTGATGTATCGAACTTCCAAGAGCCTAGCCAAGTGGGCTTAATGCAGGCACATCACTATAGCTCTATGGTCACAAGTGGGCTTCTATCAAGAGAGCTGAGATAAAGCCCCAGATCCTGCAGAGCTGGGAGTACTTGCTTGGTTGCAAGGTGCACCATTGCACAGGTAACCCCATTCCCAAATCCAGACCAAGAGTTCTGCCGAGTTTCGAATGCTTGATGATGTATGCATGTTGATACTGACAGTTGCAGTCAGCTTCAAGGACCAGGGCTTGATAGTTGGGGTAGATCCAGAAGACAGAAGCCATCTCCCATTGAGCAGTGCTGACTGTGTGGTTGGAGCTTCCTGAGATCCAACTTTACTAAGCCATTCCTGAGGTCAGCTTCAGGGTCAGACACGATGCCGTCTTTGCTTCAGAGCTCTTAGGTTGTCCTCTGCCACCCTGCAGTAGCAGATTAAACCTGAGACTGGAAGCTCTTCTGAGGTTCAGGGTTTTGCAGTGGTACATTGTGGGTACCAAACTCCTGACCTCCAGCAGAACCCTACAACACTAGAGACTTTAAGAAAGAGATTAGGGGTTTTTGCTTGTTTTGGGGTTTGTTTGTTTTTTCCTGTGGAGCATTATGGAGAGGGATAGATCAGATTTATGGGAGATGGTTCTGGCCCAGAATTTGAAGTTTTGTGTACGGGAGAGCTAAGTCAATTGTTCTTAGCATTATGGAAAGGACCTTCCTAAATAGACTGTCACATCATTTGCAGCTCTGCCAGGATCATTTCAGGGACCCTGCAGTACTTTCGAGTCCCTTGAGACTGTGAAGAGTGTAAAGGTCACTCCCTAAGTTTGCAGATGGCCCCAGTCTCAGTCATGATATGGTATCACCAACATGTGTTGCCTGTGCCTTTTACCAATGGGAGACAAGTTACTAAATTTCACTTATTCTTCTCATGTAGTCAGGAGGTTTGCGTAGCTTCTGTTAAGTGTAGCTCAGAGTGAAATGGTTGGGCTGGCAAAGATGGGAATCCCCTGATGGAAAGGAGGGAC